TGCCTTAATATTAGGTACATTGAAGTATATTGATAGTGAAGATAAAATGATATGGTCATTTTGCATATGTTTGCACGTGCACTCACGTGCAATGCGAAAATTTGCTATAAACTTGGTATACTTAGGAAAAACGTTGTTAAAGTCTAAGATGCATAGAATTTGCCTTATCAAATGAAGCTTAGAGGGATGAGGCACCAAAAGAAATTTCGGGAGCGTTTGGGGAACATCTGTAACGGTTCCAGTTACAATAAGCCCTATTTTTTACTTACTTATAATTACTGTAATTTTGCAAAGTTTCGATACAGACCTAGAAGAATTGTTTTATAAATCTCATTAGGCTATTTTCTTTACTTTATATTTGCGCAATTTACCGGGGGCCACGTTTTCAGTCATTCTTTCCATTTAAAGCAGTAAAACTCAGACACAATATTCAAAAGAAGTCAAGCAATCGTAATAATGACATAATTTATGTTTTATATGCCACTCAGCGCGATGTTTTCTCATTGCTCGTATTAAGAATAAAAATGATAATAAAAAAGTAAATGTCTCTCCCCGCATTTTTAATCATTAGTTTCTATGGCAACTGTTATAGAGTTCTATCACTGAAATCTTATATATTTTTAATTAAGTATTTATATTCTCATTTATAATTTACATTTATTTTCATTGATGAATAAATAAGATATGAAGAAATTCCACGAACTTTTGGATAAATCCTCTTATAGATGTTAACAAAGTAGATGGAAATACTAGAAAGAACTTAAAAAAGCTACCTTAAAACAAAGATACAAGTATGATGCATAGAGACTTTCAATTTATGAAGTAATGCATAATAACACAAACAATCTTTTCCCCCAGAAATTGTATCTTTATGTATTCTGAAGCCCTTCTCAATAAAGAAGAAATATTCGACCATCTTACAGTTTCAATTGAACAATTCACAAAAAATTTGGGGGAATTTGAAAAATGCATGTTTCTAGTTAAATATTTTTTTAAAAGTGTGTAATTTATTTTCTGCCATCTTTATGAAGAACTTGTATACATAAAGGTATGCAGATCGTTATCCTTGGTCAAATATTTTATGTAAGACAAACTTTTTTTTCCTTATTATCTTTCAAATGTATCAATATCCAAAACATGATGAAAATTGATGTGAAAATTTTACAAACAATCCTAAAATATGTCAATATTTTTATGGAGTCTTTACAGTGGTATTACCTTTGGAAAAATAAGGAATTATGTACCCTTTTGGAACTATTAAAACGAGATCAAAAAAATTGCAAAGAAAAATGAGATTTATTGAAAAAGGGCAGGAACAATTTGTCTCTTCTAAAGTCTGTATGACCACGGTCCGAAGAAATATTATCATTTTCGTCAATTTTGATTATATTTATATCTCGCTGCTTCTTTTTTGCATTCAAACACCTTTCTTAAACGCTTATATTTGATTTTGCCAGTAAATTTCCCCGACATCGTTCTGTGCACATGGTACATGTTATGATGTTTACAATAACTAGGATTTCCAGTTTTGTAAAATAAGAACCAAGCACTGCAAATTGTGGGAAAAATCTAGCGTAACTCTTTTATGCGGAAGATGGGTAAATTTTTTGTGGTGTGTTTCCTTAATTCTGCAAATAAGTATTGACATCAATGAAAGATGACTAAAAGCTACAATCTTAAAATGGTAAAAGTTGTCATTTTCACATTTAAACTTCATTGTATATGAACTTCCAAAAGTCATAATAAATAGATTAATACAAATAAGACTTAACGTAAATGTATATAGATTTTTTGATCTCTTGGTAAAATTCCAAGATATCACTCTTACTTTACGGCATAATGTAAAATATATGCAGAAACTTAGTAATTCATAATGCAGTAAAATACACTTAAGTAGCTGTACAATAAAATGTGCAAGTATGAGCAATGTATATACATGTATTATGTCTATCTAACATTGGTTTATATTATAGGTTCCATTTAGATCAGTTATGCAATTTTATGCCATGTATGCCATTTAGCAGTGAGCCCATGAGCCATTTAGATAAACCGTTTGTACATTTTGGAAAAGAAAAACCAGTTTACCAAAAGTCTACTGTGATTTTGGGAACCCGACAGACACCCTGTGACAAATATGCATCAATTTATTTACCTATGCATATACATATGCTTTTCTATGAAACAATCCCCCTACTTTTACCTGAACGCAAACAGCTGTTGCTAGTGACGTTACATTGACTTCACACTTACTACCTAATACTAGTATACGACGCATATTAGCATGGAAAGTAACTTAGTAACTTTTGTTTTGTTTTTGTTTTTTGTTTTTTGTTTTTGTTTTTTGTTTTTGTTTTTTTTTTGTTTTTTTTTTTTGTAAAGGTTCTGAAGATTGAGAAAACACGTAGAAATAACGAACAGTTTTCAAGCTCAAAAGCCTATTGCATTTAAACAATGCAAAATAGGAACAGAATAAGCACATAAATTTGATACATCAGAAATATGACCCGATGTCATGGAGAAGTAAGCATAACCTGCCGACAAATCACACCCGTGATGTGCTCCTTGTCATCGAAAAAAGCAGGAAAATTTCTCGTCAATTCCCTTTGTAAATAATTATGGACTTATATAGAATTGGAATAAAAATGTTAGTTAACATTTGACTCAAAGATAAATAGTTTTAGCTGAACAGTGTCATTGTATAGACCATAGAACTTAGAAATTATGACTTTAAACGAGACTGTTGGTATCCTTGTTTCATTAACCTGTTTGTCAATATTCTACTTTATTAAAAGAAAATTTTATCTACGTAGATACAGATATAATGAAAAGCCTTTTGCTTGACTTTGGTTTTTCGTGCTTTTGTTCCTTATTTCAAGTACATTGATATGAATTCTTGTCCATGTGGATTTATTTGTGTTTTCTATACGAAAATTGCTTCACTTAGAACAGTTTGATTAGTTTTTAGAGTTGTTGTAAAATGTGCTTCATAAATGAAATGTATTATACATGTATGTTACAACGTGTACTGAACCGATTCTATTAGAAAACTTATGTCCAAATAACAGTATCTTACTTTGATTCTCTATAACTGTGAACTGTAGGGCAGCGCCGCGTACATCGGCATCGAAAGAAGTTTTTTGACTTGCGTAGACAGCAGCGATGCAATACTATTTAATCAGGTTCATTGGCATATCAAGGTTTGGAAATATATATGAAAATGCATTTACTGAATATTTGAATAATCATACCAATGTCTTTAGATTGCTATATAATTGTGTTTTAGTCCTATCCACAATATACTACAAAAAGTTGACAACTGCAAGAAATACATACCCCTCATAACTCATTAGTTGACTAAAAGGAGTAACAATGAAGAGTTCGATGTTGAATTATACATACCTCCAAAGAAGAAAGCCAATAAAATGACAACAATTGAGATGAAAACTGTAACGAATATATCTGCAGAGGTGCCTTCAAAAAAACGAAAAAAACAATGTACTCGATATGTGATAGCTAAACACTTACCTGTAGAAATTAACGTGTCCTAGAAAAAATTCTTTGTTGATTTTTTATCTACATTCACTTACAACCCGTATTAACTAAATTTATTATTCGAAAATCATTGTTATTACAAAAATGGCTTTCATACGAGGGCAAGTATTTGGTCATTAAACCATTTCAAATTAGATTTGCACTGTAATTATGAACACATTATTATATTATGAATTATGATTAGATAAAGCATTCAAAAGATCAGTGAACGACTCTTAAAAAATGTGTTTTGGAAAAGGGTTATATATTTCATATATCAAAACTACATGTAAGTGTTATTCAAAAGCACTTTCGAAATACTATTACATGGTTTTTCTTGAAAGCTATATGAATTAAACGACAAAAGGCCCATGGATTGCATTAATCACTTGAGCAGTGTGGCTAAAATAAAGCAGAAATATATTTAATATTAGAAAAAATAAATCCATGAATGATCCTAACCTACACTAAAAGGAATGGGGTTTTATTTGAACCAACTTGAATCTACACCAACTTAACATACTTGCATATTTCTTTCACTAACCGTAGCTTTTTTATACCTTAAAGTCGAGCGTAAATGAATTTACGCTACCTAGGGATGTTTCCATATAAATATGACCAAGCATGGTTATACGGTTCTTGAGAAAAGAAGATTTTTTAAAGATTTTTTTCTATATATTTAGAAGTAAAATTTTTGTCGTCTATTGAGGCCTACCCTAAACCCCCAACTCCATCCCAGGAGTCATGATTTAAAAAAAATAATTATCTACACTATCTGGGGATCCTTCCATACAATTATGAGCAACAGTGAGCTTTACTGTACATGAAACGAAGATCTTTAAAATATAAATATGAGAAATCATGGTTTTGCTGTTCTTGAGAAGAATATTTAATCTTTTTTTCAAACATTTTAATGTAAAACTTTGACGGTTTCTTGTAACCCCCCCCCCCCCTGATCTGAGGTAATATGTCATTGAAGATTTTGTCAATTTAATTAATTACTGACAATCACGATTTTTAGTACAATTTCGAAATCTCTATTTCCCGTTCATTTACAGTGTATTTGATAGTACAATTAGTGGTGTAAGATATTTTCTGAAGAAGTTAAAAAGTATTAAACATGTTTTACAGACTTTTTAAATCTAATGAAACATTTGATACGCATGCATAGTTTTGAGATTAAATTTGGACGAAAATATTCGCACTTAAATGTAACCAAACATTCGTAATTGTTTCTTACAAGCGACCAAAAGCTAATTCACAGTACATTAAAGATAAAAGACTTGTATATATATATATTTAAAATATATGTATCTTTTGTTTGCATTGTTTGTTCTTTTTTAATTATATCGCATATAATTTATCTAATTTAATCATATGATGTTAACAATCATTTTTATGTTCGTATTTTTTTTTTCGTTTTATTCTAATCTGGCATTTACAGTAGGTTGAAAGAAAAATATGCTTACTTTTATCGCAAAAGTCACCTGTACTGTATGGGTGACACATTTTGCAAATTCCAGTTTTCTGTTCACAATTTGAATCCTTGCAATCTCTGCTACAAGGCTCTGTGCACTGACTGCCATAAAATCCCGTAACACACCCTCGACATTCACCATCTGCCCTCCTACAATCTTTCAAACAACCAGGAGGGCATTCTGACCAAAATAGTATTCACATAATGTATTGGATGTTTGCCATAGTTGTGTTATGTTTTAAATTGCAGTTCAATTTAATCGCCCTGGTAATTCTAGAAGGTATATGTACTCATCTGTGTGTATTTTTATACAAATGACCTTGATTTGGTCTGTATTTAGTTTGTCATTCTTTCATGCAAAGATTCAGATGGGTATTTTGATTTACATCGCGTTTGTTTGACCTCCACCGTGTGATTTGTAAATCAAACCATAGCACATGCGCAACCCTTGCATTCTCGATCTCTTATTTTTTTTATATATCGAACAATTTTATGTCTGAAATATTTTAAATGTATTCATCTCATTCACCACACGTTCCTTTCAATATATTGAATGTGAAGTAACTTTTAATTATATAATGTTCTTTATAATTTGTAATCATTGTTTTGTAAGTTGCTACAATGGGTATTACGTTGCGCACGATGTGGTGTCAAAAAATTAACAAGTAGAGCTTTTTAAAAAAGCTTCCCGTCTTTAGCAACATTCTTAAACAGTAAACTGATCTACACTTATCAGGCCGTATAATTCTTTTGAATTTTGTATTTCTACATTAGCTTTTTACGGGCATTAGCCCTACCATGGTTGTCGCTCGGTCATCTCCGTGAATTGACCGACTGGCCGAGAGCTTTCGGCAAACCTCGGCCGATTCCATTCCCGTCTTCAAACAAGAAAGGGAAAAAGAACTAGAAAGTTTGCCATTGCAAGCAATAGCTTATATCGTCCCAGACTGGACAAATCTTTCACATTTTGTCATTACTAAAACAAAACCCATTATAGCTAAGCTTGGAAAACCATCAACTCTTATCAGTCCCTTCAGTACTTTCAGTACTTTGATTTAAAATCAAAGTAAAAGAATTTCCACTTTTCACATGTTTCCATGGAAACTTTTTACAATTTCCAATTTTTAAATGCAAATCGCACAATTACATATACTAACCATTACAACTACAAAGTTTCATGAAGAATGTCCAAAGGACCAGAGAGAACACTCGCGGACAAAATTCGTCGCTTTTTGTAGGTTTCCATGGCAACGGTAGCCATTTTGAAAAAAAATTGAAAAAACGGTCCCACAACTACCAGTGATCTTTCTTTGAGGAAAGTTTCAAGACGATTGTCCCAGCCATCTCCAAGAAAACGCTTGGACAAAAAAACATGCGTACAATCGCAATATGTCGTCCCGACTTCGTCTGGGACGACATAATAATAACAAATTGTAAAGCCTGCAAACCATGAAAATCAAATTTTATTTATAATGAAATTAAAGAGACTTTTTTCATTTATTGCTATAAAAAATACCATGTTATTAAGAATTAATTACTGCTGATTTTGCTGTTCGTTTGATCATTTTTTTAAGATTGCAAATCTTGCAAAATTGTTAAGTCGTACGAAAATTAGATCATCAGAAAGTTATCTCCCTTGCCTTGAACAGCATTTCAACCAATGAAATAATTGAAAATTTTCTCATCATACAATTTCTACCAATCACAAAAGAGAGGAAGTGCATAGTCCAAAGACTGTAAAAAACTTCAACTTTACAATACCGTCTTCCAAGGAAGACGGTAAAAAATACTATTGCGTTTGCTCTATTTTCATAATTTTAAAACAATTCATTTTATGAAAACTATAAATATTTCGGTTGGCAATTGTATAGTTAATACATTTTTAAAAAAATATTGTATATATAGTCATTAAAAATAGACATATTGACAATTTGAAATTATGAAATGTGCATCTTTTCAAAAAGTTATTAGTATATTCCAAAATAAATTTCAATGGAATTATGAAAAAATCCTAACAAAATATAAATGTTAACATAAATGTCACACACATACAATGTAAAAATTGGCGTTTTGACGTTATTACGTTAATACGTTCATTGCATAAAACGCAATATAACCTAAAGCGTCAAAAGATATTTTTTTTCCCAAATAAACTTACTCTTACTGCTGATCAGCCTGATATGGATAAAAGAAAAAAAATGTACCAATAATGATTAATTTTAAGAATAACTTAAGGTTTTGAAAGTTGTATTTATATAGATAAAAGTAAAACATGGGCAGTGTATACTGTAGTATACTGTTTAAGTATATAAATATAACTATATATCCTTGTACCGTTCACAGTCCGAATTAATTATATATATAGACACGATAAAAAAATCACATAAACCAAAATTTATGTAAGGATATGATTTCAAATCTTAATAATCCGACATTAAAGAATGTCAACTCTATTTGATGCTGTTATAAACTGTTTGACATGGCGAGTGTACATTGAATAGTCTAATATTGAATAAGGGTTAGGGGTTGTCGGAGGTTGTGATTTAGATAAAGTATCAGATTAGCACTGCGATTAGTTCTTTGTGTCATTTACCCGGTAGCATCGTATGAAATGAAAAAAAGAAACGTATTATATTATGTTTTAAACAAAAAATAGGTGTATAAATTAACATAGGAATTGCCGACATTTGGAAACAAAGTAAGGCGAGATCGGCTACATTACCTTATTTCTTTCAATTTAAAATAATTATTTTCATTTATATATTTGGTAATAAGCATTGGATCCTTCCTTTAAATCGACCAAAATGGTACCAAGTAACCATTTATTTAAATGAAATCTTGTTTAGGGAAATACTAATGCCTCTATACAATCTACCGTTCACGGTAGCCTTGTGGTAGAGCGTTCGTTCGTGATAGGGAGGCGCGCCCCGCGTCAAACCTCAAACGTAACTAGCTAATTCAGAGAATTCGTGTCCCCCGCTTAGGGTAAAAGTCGGATCCCCCTGACTGAATTTGAATTTGTAGAATTATTAAATGTATACATGTATACTGATGCAAATAAAATACATGTATGTCAATTTGCGTATAAAGATTTGATTGCTTATTCTCTATTTTGTGTATAGAAGATTCTTTTTATATGGAATATTTATCACACTGTAATGGTGATTTTATAACCTCATAAATTTTTCTTTTCACATGCTGAATACTATCATTTAGAAATAAAAGAAAAAAAAAGGGTCGTCCCTGATTCGATCCCGACACCTCTCACTTGTGAAGCTGGAGACATACCACCAGACCACGGAGGCGCTTTAAAGATTGTTAAGTATATGTAGAAGTAAAGTCACATACATACATATATATATATATATATATATATATATATATATATATATATATATATATATATATATATATATATATATATATTCATGCTCGATATTGTCAAAATTTTACACAATGATGAATCCATGGTGTTTGATTTATTTAGCCTTTATTAAACAGTTCTAATAGATATAATAAGAACATAAAGTCCGCCGAGAACATGTTTTATACGCAATAACTCCATATGCCCCTGTGCTAAAAATAGCGACATGTAATACTATAAATACTAATAAAACAAACGGGGCAGGGCACTTTGAGAGGGGTGAGAGAGGTCCTAGGGAGTTTTGGTATAAAATTACATTGCATCAGCTCAAAATCTTCTTGAAATATCGCCCGGAAATGATAGTGTTACACACAGACAGAATGTATAAATTTACGATTTTGAACTTTGACCTTTTGACCTCAAAATCAATAGGGCTCTTCCTAAGGCCACAGGGAATTGTTATGTAAAATTTCATTGCAATAGCTCAAATGGTTCTAGAGATATCGTGTGGAAACGAAAGTGTTATAACAGACAGAATTTGCTCAATTATGACCTTGACCTTTTGACCTTTTGACCTCAAAATCAATAGGGGTCTTCTTTAGTCCATAGGAAGTTGCTATGCTAAATTTCATTGCAAAAGCTCAATGGGTTTTCGAGATATCGTGTGGAAAGAAAAGCGTTACAGACAGACAGAAAGACGGACGGACGGACAAACCCAAATTAATATCACCCACTTTTCAAGCGGGGACAAAAATAGGTAGCGACTGTTACTTCGCCAAACGCTCGGCATCAGAAGTGAAATTCACGGGTCTTTCGGATTTGACCTTAAAAACGTCATGTGTCACGGTAGGCGCTTGCACGACAAAGAACCCTCACCCTGAGCGCCGAGCATAGGTCTAAATTTAAAGCCCTTCACCGGCATACGGTGACGTCTCCATATGAATGAAAATTTCTCGAGAGGGACGTTAAACAATATGCAATCAATCAATCAATCAATCTATACATTCTCCCCAATCTGATTAAAATTTGACCCCGCCGTCACCAAACTTCCTCAACATCAGCCTCAAATTAGCTATCTAAATCTAATTCATGATGAAAGCATATATTCGAAATGCTCTTTGAAACACTCTTCGCTTCCATTTATAAATATGGAAAGGGCATACAATCCCATAAAGCAGGTATTGCATGGGTATCCAAAGAAGTAGGAAACCTTCGATCATTGATCTGTGAGCTAGGCACGTACGTTGTGTAACGCTTATTAAAGAGGGCTGGAGAGGAGAAAACTGAACTTTTTTTGAATAAATACAACTGAAATCACTTCATCGAAATCTCTTTTATAGAGAACTAAAAGTGAGAGTGCGGGAGGGGTCGATTCTCAGGTTCGATTTCTCTTCTCTTCTAAAACTGAATTATTTGAATTATTTAGATCTACTGTAAGGGACTTGTAAGGGTCTATCTGATGGTTAAAGATGGGGTGGGAATAGGGACTTTGAATGAAAAAAATTAATTCAGTGCTACATGTAAATCAGCAACATAGTTACCAGGTGTGGATCCAGAATTTTTTCCAGGGGGAATTCACCCCAGTCCAAAAAAAAAAATCCAACCCAGAAATTTCTTGACAAGCAAAAAAAAAAAAAAACTAAACTCGCCCAAACGTTAAAAACCTAGGGGGGTAGGGGGTTTTAATGACTTCTTATCCTTCAAACCTTTGACATTTCATAAAAATTTAACACAAATATTGAAAAAATAACATAACAGAATAATTTGATGCATTGAACTACTTTTGAGAGTTTAATTACATGTGTTTTCAATGAATTGCACGATATACATTTAAGTGGCAGTTTGCCTGGGTTTTTATTTTTTCTTCGTAAAAAATGTTAGCCAAAAAAGCAGCGTCAAATTAATTTTCTAGAACTTCACATAAAATAACGTCATTTCGACGTTACCGAAACTGACACCAACACCGTGCGCAACGTGTTTATATTTGAGCTAACACCTTTTGTGCTTTTTCTCTTTAATTATAAAGGATTGAAAGCATTGGGGTAGCCTTCAAATAGCTCTTAGAATATGAAAATGTGTAAAGCAGATTTACTCGATGAATCTTAGAATATGAAAATGTGTAAAGCAGATTTACTCGATGACAAGTTTGTACTCGAATGACTTTAATTACAAATATTGAATGCTCGGATATTTTTTGATAAGTCTTGGAAGCTTTTGCTTATTAGACATTATACAAGAAGTACATAATTATAATTTTTTTTTAGCACTGATCAATCACTGAAATATGAACATGGACAATATGAATATAAAAACATTAATGCAATTATTTATTTGACTCCAGATAATCATGCTTATGTTTATTATTCATTTTCAAAATGAAATACTTGCACAGAGATTCTCCGTAATCAAAAATACACTTTAATTCAGACTTGTAGACCAAAATAACAAAAAAAAAATACATAATACACTGTACTATAGTATTTATAATTGTTTTGATCACGATTTTTCCTTTTATTATTTTCTGTGTTACAATGAAAGCCTAATGCTTACCGGTACATCAATTTTAAAATATAAACTGACTTGCTGAACACATATACCGATAACTAAATAACAAGCACAGATTCACTTTAAAAAATGGTTTCGTGTGTGTTAATTACATGTATGTTTTTGTATTCAACATGGTGACTGTAACGTTTGAAATTTTTTATTCATTTCTCTTTGAAAAGCACAGATACCATAGGTGTTTTGAAAATTAATCAAACTCTGAAGACTAAATTAAATTTGACAAGGCAAAAAAAAATCTTTAATCTACTCACGCCATCCGCAGTTGTGTCCCCAATAACCCTGTTGGCATTCATGGCAAACCCCATTGGTAGGCTCACATTTATTATCCTTGCAATTTAAACAACTTTGTAAGCAATTTTCGCCGTACGTTCCATCAGAACAATCTATTAAATGAATTAAAGAAAACGTATTTAGCACAGTAACGAAAACCTTCTAAGAAATAAAGACATGTCTCTAGATTGTGCATATAATTATTTTATTACAGGACAAAGAAATATATGAATCATGATCAGCATCAATATTAGAAAACTTTTGCATCTTAAGGAAGCTAGCAAAATAATGAAAATTTCAGCACCAAATTTGGCATGAACGTTTCTTGTCTAGTACCCGAATAAGAAAATTTTATATCTTTGGTCTTTTGGCCATTTTCAAAGCAGCTTCCAGGGTTTACAAAACTATATTCAATTCATAGTTTTGTCTCATCTTTTCTATACTTAAATTCCTTTGTTTAAGTACCTTTTTTAAGAATTGTTTGTACATGTAACCATGATTGATTGTATAACGTCACATTCGAGATTTTTTTCACCCATATAGAGACGTCACCGTATGCCGAATAAGGGTTTCAAATTTTGACCTTTACTCGGCACTCAGGGCCAATGAGCAGTGAGGGGTATTTATCGTGCAAGCGCTTACTGTGACACGGGATCCACGTTTTAAAGGTCATATCCAAAAGATCAGTAATTTTATCGAAGGAACAGTCAGTAAGTATGTTTACGTCTGAGTTTTGATGCATGATTCCAATCCAGGCCTCCCGATTACGAAACGAACACTCTACCACTTAACAGAAATGTCACGTCAAAAACGTAACGTCAAGAATTTAAATAAAATCTTTTCCCCATTCATTTCACACGGAATACCCACTCATTAAAACTTTTTTTTTTCTATCACCTGTCATTTAGTTTTAAACAATATTTTCGTTGTATAGTTTCCTTTGTCTATGTTTCGATTTCATTTCTCTCTTAAATTGCTTTCATACAATCAGGAACTTTGAACCGGCTATGTCTTCACAACCTTTAAAGTTTTTGGTTCAGGATTTTCAGTTTAACCGATTCTTCACAGATTGTTTTTTTTTTCTGTTACAGAGTCTCAGTCACTCAAATACCGCCAGTACTGTTTGTTCACACGTGCACAACTGGCTTATGACATTTTTTTCATTCCTCCAACATTTTAAGAGTTTATTTAGGATTTTTCCTGAGTAAATGACGAAAATACATAGTCATCTGCTGCTCCTTGACTTTCTAAAACGTCATTGTCTTTGTCGTTTTTAACGAGAACTACCTATCTTTTCAAGTTGATTTCTTTTCAACGAAGCAAAATATTAAAGGTTGGATTCTTCTATAGCTTCTGACTACATGAAATATTCAGTGTATATTTGCTTTTATTTCTTTTATATTTAGATGTAAGAGATGTAAAAGATCATTTTTTCTCCTTTAAATAGATATGGTAAACTTAATTATAAAATCTAGCAGGGACTATATATTTCGCGTAATGGTGGCGTATGAAGATATCTTCTTTTCTGATTCTTAAAATTAGTGTAGAATTATTGAGAAGAATCCTACCTTCAGCTATAATTTGGAATACGAAACCATGTAAAAATCCCTAACTTGAACGTCTATTTTTTGCTTCAGTATGTGACTACAGATATTGCTTAGTGTATTGTTTGTAAATTACTAAAATTTGATCCAATTTCTGCACTTTTTTAAATGGATAAATTTAAAGCAAATCGCGATGTTTTAAAATTTTAACACGAATTATTTAACGTTAATATTAAATTATCTGTACAGCCGATCAGATTAAACATTACAACAGACCAGATTTACACACACCGGCCAGCGGGGTAAGATTTACAGATTAATTGTGAACAGAATATCGACTGGTCAGACAATAGACTTTAATTAGGTGTCTGCACCAGCCCACCGGTCAACTTACAGGAAAATGAAGTGAAATTACGTTGATCAAGTTATAATTATATAATTAGTTTTTGAAAAGTTTTTGTAATCAAATATCATCTCCGATGTTCATTCATTGTTTCAAAGGTTCAGAAGATCTAGATCTAGCTCATCAGATCTTGGGAAAGTATATAAGCGGGCTAATTCAAGCACCGATTAAGGATTTTAAGATGATTAAATGGTAACTTTATAGTGGTTTAATGATTACATGAAGATAGATTAGAGGTGCTTAATGGTGACTTAAAGAAAACCTCTAAGCCATCTTTATGGACATTTATCATCTTTAAGCAAAGGTTAAAAGACGTGTTTCAATTTTTAATAGGGATAAATTATCACATAAAATATTGACAATTTTATGCCATATCCCGTCGTCATGAATTTATAACTTTACCCACGGAATAGCGTAACATAACTTTAAAAAAAACGTTTTTAAATCAATCAAGTTTGTTTATTTATCATGAGTATAAAAGGATCATTACCTCTATCGCATTTTTTGCCAGTTCTTCCAGCTGGGCAATTGACACATGATCCGTCGGAGTTGCACAGTTTGTCGAGGCAATCTTTTGGACATTGGTCTAGACACTTAATCCCATAGAAACCGACTTGGCATTCAATACATGCTCCCGTGACATAGTTACATTTATTTCCCTTGCATCGTTCACTGCACTTTTCTAAGCACTCTCTTCCGAATTTCCCTTCACTGCAAACTAAAACCAAAAACGAAATGCGTGTTTAATGTTAACATGTTATCAATTGCTAAGAAATATATATTAACCGAACTAGGAACTATCTCGTTGCTGGCCTTCCCCATTCTGCAAAAATTACCCTTAAAATCGACCTGAAAAAGTCATAAAAGAAATTTTTAACACAAGGGGGGTTAATCCAGGTCTCTTGCTTAAAAAATCCAACACGCTAACCATAACTTTATTGTGACCATTGCTCCTAATATACGTGTATATACGTCTGCAACATTACACCTTACGTGTATATACTTCTGCAACATTACACCTGTCTTAAAGTAATGAAACGTTGGACACTAATCATAACTCCTCGTCAAACGTCACAAATAAATGTCGCTCGTTTTCTTTGGAATGGTTTATTAAGTAGGTGTGATAGCTTCAATGAAATTTTAAAAATACGTTCTTATTGCCTAAATTTCGGGGTTTAGAAAATATATATTTAACACATTGTCCACATTCCATATCGTAGGCAAGAAAGAACAAAGCAGAGAAACGGCTACGATTTTTTTTTAACTTTTTAAAAAAAAATCTGTTTATACCCAAAGTAGACATAAGACTATCCCGATTAGTTACACTTTCATGAAAGGTTGGAATGTTTTTGCTGAAAAACACGCCTTGATCTTCGATGGTCAACGAACCAGATATCATTTATGTTCAATAACTTGCTTCAGATCTTATATAACAAATGTTTCTGTAAACTCCATTTAACAATCTATTATAATTTTTTCCCTACTTTTTGTCTTTTCTATTAGTTTGATATGACATAGGTGTGTATGGGAAAACAGTGGTCACGTTGTATGCTTACTATATAACTCTATATTGTTTCTTGAAAAAAATATTGCTTATGACCATGACTTGCGATCTGTTTTTTTTAATGTGGTGCAAAACTAAAGGTTGTAGATATCGTATTTCATTTGTAGTCTTATCTTTTTTTAGTTTGAGAACAAGACAAAGCCAATTAAAGATGACGTTTGAGAAGACCTTTGATTAAAACTTTATTTTGACACAGAATTGCAACGTAACTAAGATGTGACAATCCAAGTATTCCATCACATCTCATTGATCCTGATGTGAGTTTCGTTCAAACAAACTCTCGATTGCCTCCGTAAACCCAAATTTTCTAAATTTTCTAATTACGGAGACTACCGCCATTTTGGACCCGCTTAAGATTTCCAAATGTTTATATCTTGAGTTTACATTACTCAATATTCTAACAATTTACATAGTAAGCATTATAAGAAAGATTTTTATTAACATTAAAAAATTGAAAAATATTGACCCCCACCCCCACCCCCACCCCAAAAAAAAAATTAATTCGCATCTCGTAACTTCCGGAAGTGCTGGCAACGAACGGAAATTCGCGTTTTCAATAGTATTTATCACGATCTACAATCCTTGAAAGTTTCACTTTGATATCTTTTACCGTTCATGAGATTATACGTTGACAAAATGTCATTCTAAATTCAGGAAATAGTCTGTAACATGACATGGGGACCGAAATTCCAAAACAATCTCTTAAATAAAATAACTTCAGATTACAACACGTTGTTTCTGTAAATTTTAGAAAACATCCACTCAGAAGTCTTCGAGGAATCGTGTCCACAAAATTATATACATGGAAAAATAAGAAGAAGAAACAGTTAAATCACAATACGGTCTTCCATGAAGACGAAAGACATCTAAAATGCACACTTATGTATACTTTTAAACATTTTCACCGCACATGACTGTTTTAGTCATTTTCACTGTCCATAATATTAAAGTAGGGGCCTCCGAGGGAAACATACTTGTTACTTGAAACATGTTGAAAAATATTAAGAACACTTACTTTCTGTGCAATACACACCACTGTATCCATCTTGGCAGGTATAACATTCACCATTGGCAGGATTACACACATTATCCCGACAAAACGCTGGACAATTGAAAGCACATGCCTTTCCGTATTTTCCTCTCATACATCCTTTCATGTAAAAAATATTACCATTTCGATATTAAAGAATATCTTGTGTTTTCGTAAAAAAAAATTCCAAAATATTAAATATTTTTTTTTTTACAATTATATCAATTATTTTTATTTCTAACCTTGATTTTATTAGAAAATAATAAGCATTTAGTATTCATAATTAATTTTTTAACATCGATTGAATTATATAAGTTCACGCAAAATTTCATATTACATGTGTTTTACTCTAAGTCGTACACTTAAATATCATTTTCTATTAGTGATAACATGCAAGATGTTGAAAGATATATTCGAATGAAAAGAAGTTCGATTTCAAACGATGGGGAAAAACAATCGGAATGCGCTAGGACAACCCATTTCACGACCCAAAAAAGGGATCAAACATTGTAGGTACTTAGTGGTTATAGACAAAAATTGTGGTTTTAGGAAGAAAAAAATCTTTAGATTATAAGTAACAATTCAATTAACAAAGCATTAATTATAAACAAAATAGAACAAACTGTAAAGTTGATATACTCTTACAATTTAAACCGCAATATGCAGATTATGAATAGCTGAATTTACATACGAAGAGTGATCAGAAAGTTCCCGAACTAATTTAATATTTCTTAAATTGAAAGTTATTTTTATAACAAAAATGTCCATTTGTCAGAAATATCCCAATCATGGCAATAAGATGGGTGGATGAGGATATCATTTCCAAGAGAGAGCGTAGGAACGTGTTTATCTAGTTTGGATAAAAAAAAAAATTGGCGTGTTTTGAATCATATCTAATATTTTTAAAGTATAAAATAAACAATATTTTAGATATTTAAGAATTATTGTTTGTGAATCTACTAATTTTCGGAAGGAGGATTAATTTTGTTTTTTTTTAAATATGGAGAGACCCTCGAATTCATTACCACCTAAAAATGAGTAAATTCGTATGAATTTTTATTCAATACTTTTCTATTTTCGCAGTCATGATCAGATCCCACAAACTAATATTCCTTTCTTCATCCTCGAAAATTTTACCCATTTAAAATACGTGATAGTACAGTACTTATTAAGATATTCAACTCTTTTTATGCCCCCGTAACGAAGTTTCGGGGGTATATAGTTTTTGTCGTGTCCGTCTTTCTCTCTGTCTCTCTGTTTGTCCGCATAAACTTTAACCTTGTCCATAACTTTTGATTTGGTGGAGCTATGACTTTCATATTTCATATGTATATTCCTTGTGACAAGACCTTTCTTTGGGTACCACCAAATTTGACCTTTTGACCTTGACCTTGGAGTTTGACCCACTTTTACATGAAAATTTTAAACTTTTACTTTGGCCATATCTTTTGAACAGTAGATACCAGGACATTTATACTTCACATATGTAATGTTTGTTGAAAGACCTTTCATTGGATACCAACAACCTTGACCCTTTGACCTTGACCTTGTAGATTTCCGTACTTGTGAAAAAACTTTAACCTTTGCCATAACTTTTGAACTGTAAGTAATAGAGCTTTCATACTTCATATATGTAATCCTTGTGAGAAGACCCTTCGTTGGTTACCAAGAACTTGACCTTGACCTTTGAGATTGACCTACTTTAAGAAAGCAAACCTTGACCATAACTTTTAAAGAGTTAGGGCTAGTGCTTTCATACTTTACACATTTGATTCTTATGACAAGACCTTACATTTGATAACAAGAACGTTGACCTTGACCTTGGAGTTTGACCTACTTTTAAAAAAAAATGAACGTTGGCCATAACTTCTGAATGGTTAGGACTAGGGCTTTCATGCTCAACATAAGTATTCTATGTGGCAAGACATTTCATTTGATACTAATTACATTGACCTTTTGACCTTGACCTTGGAGATTTTTGTACTTGTTTAAAAAAAACTTTAACATTTGGTTACTTTTAAATTTCACAATTGTTTTCCAGTGAGAATACCCTACTTTTGGTACTATTTAGTTAAATTTGCATTTAAGAAAAGCTTAATCTTTGCTATGTTGCCATACGGGGGCATCAGTGTTTCACAAACACATCTTGTTTTCTATCTGTTACTTGGTGATATTTCATAAAATTCGCTCAACTAAGGACACGCCTGTTCCCAGGCATGCTTTCACGGAGCAACAGAAAAATGTCATATTTAATCAAATTAATGATGGAACTTCTGGAAAGCCATTTGTCGACAAAACTTGTATAATTTTATTAAGATGTTACTGGAAAGGAAGTTATAATTTGTACATTAACACCTGATCGTTGCTCAAGTAAGACTGTGTTCACGTTTGTTTTTTTTGTTTTTTTTTTTTTTGTTTTTTTTGTTTTTGTTTTTGTTTTTTTTCTTTTATTTTCCACAAGTCATTTGTATATTGACGTCACATAGTGAGGTCACAGTCATGAAGGAAAACATATTATTGTGTGCTTTATACGGAGCATTTGTATGACTGTATGCAAAAACATTAGTCTTTTTTGACTTGTTAATTAGTAAAGAATCATATATGGAGATAACGAACACTATTCAAGATCAAAAGTTCAAACAACAATACAAAATAAAAGCAGGGCAAGTACCGACCTTCAAAATTAATAGTCGGGATCAGGTGCCATGGGGGAGTCAGCATCCCCTGCCGACCAGTCACACCCGCCTTGTGCTCCTTGTCATGATCAGGAATTAACAGGTAAATCCGTCATCAATTCAGTGTATCAATTATGGAATAACATTTAGTATGAAAAAGCCAGTCAGCATTTGATTCATTGATATCAATGGTACTTCCTGACAAGGTCATTGTATCGACCATAGAACTCACGAAATGGTGATTTTAAACAAGCCTGCTAAAATTCTAGTTTCATCAACTTGTTTGTAAATAATTTACCTTGTTGTAGAAAATGGTCATATGTAGAACATGCTGTTGCGTATCTTATCAACTGAGATATGTAAACGCCGTATGTAGGTGATAAAGGTATATTGCTTCATAAGTAAGGGAAGTTGAAGATAGAAAAGTTAAATTCATCACATATCAGAGAGCTTAAATAAATACTTTATAGCGCAGTTAATTAACATAGCGGAACTCTTTGGGAGGTAGGAAACGTCTGTTGGATGGAAACAAATGTGCTATTGAATACAATGCAAGATCGATCATTGTAGAATTTATAAGGACAGATAAGTAAAAAATCCTGGTGGAATACCTTGTTAAACATTCGCTGAACCAGCCTAAGTATTTTTGAGAGGAGCTAATCCTAAAATGTTTCATTTTTAACGATATTTTAACTAAGAGGGCTCTACTCGTTACATTTTCATTGAAAATCGTCACATTTTAAAGCTGATAAAATATTAAAGCCTTTCCTTAAATGGCAATCTACTATTTGGAGTTCAATTCTTGGAAATGCATTGTGCTTAAACATAAAATTGTTCGAATGATTCGATTGTCACTACTGTTAACAATACCACGTGGCCCAGTTATCTCGCGAGATATAGAGCTTTCCCGACTCCACCGCAAAAGAGCAAAAGTAAGTTAGATAACTGCGAGGTACTCGCAATTTTACGTATCGTCATTGAGAGAAATATTCTCTATACTAGTACCTGATTAAAATTAACAAACCAAAAGAACATATTCTAAATGGGATCATAATATAATTAAGAAAAACATACTCATATGCAATGAAATATGTACATGTAGCATGGCAGTATAAATTTGCTAATTTTGATTCTGCATACCTATACTGCAAGTGAATCCATAAAAGCCAGATGGACATTCATTGCATTCTCCCGTAATATGGTTACATTTCCCATCTTGACACCGGTGACTGCATTTTTCAGTGCATTCGTGGCCGTACCATCCGTCTTCGCACTCTGAAGTGACAATTATATGATCCATCAGGGGGATTGATATTATTAAATCTTTTTGGTTATGATATGAATAAAAGACGATGCTTTTATGCGATATCAATTTGCTTAATTGCAAAATAAATATCTTTGGGTGTCGTAGTAGGTGCTGGCAAGAAAAGGATCCCTCAAAAAAAAGGCCTGAGTGCCGAGCATAGGATATTTGTAGCTGTCCACCGCCAAGTGGTGGTATCTCCAAATGAGTGAAAAATTCTCAAGAGGGACATTAACCAACATGCAATCAATCATGTAAGGATATGGCAAACCTTATGAAAATATTCAAATTATTCTTTTTTGACACTATTTATCTGTGAAATTATATGACTAATTCCTTCAAGTAATGATTTGTTTATTTTTCCTTTAAATATTGGTTTAAAAAAACTAGATAATTATTAAAAATGTCAATTAGGAATTGAATTTGAATAAAAGCACAGTATCTTTATGAAATTTGCTTTCTTTTTATACGTTAAAAAATCTTCTCGTGGATTTTTGGCCCAAATCTATACTTTGATTGGAAGGGTTTTAAAGCTAAAATAACTTTAGGTTGTTTGAAAAATCATATTTATTTGATAAATATTTACTTGATATATTTTGATAGTTTAGTCCCTTATTATTTATTTAACCTACATTTGAAAATTTCTTAAAGTCTTTAATTGAATATAAATTATAACTAAATTTATTGTTCTCTTCTTATTTGGAGAGGCAGAAACGAATATATATTCATACGCCACCATTACGCCATTCCGACAATAATCAAGTCCCTGCTAGCTTTCAAACGCAGTTTAGCATTTCTATTTTCTACGTTGTACAATTGTGATGAGGAAAAAAAATATGGTCTTTTAAAACCCCTTACACCTAAATATATAAGACATATAAGCAAATACACTTTGAATGTTTCATCTAGTCAGAAACCAGAGAAGTATCCTACCTTAAGTTTTAACTATTACTTTTTCAAAATTAAACCAATAAATTCCCGAATTAGCAACACAATTAGAACATAAGGACAGATGATACAAACAATCGTTTTCTTTGGAAGAGACTTAGTAACATGTCACAAGTTTAGAAAAGTTGATAAGTCTTAGAATTTTCTGCCCTATGAACTGGAAAATATTAATAATATTTCAATAAAAAAAAAACCAAAAATAGACAAATCACACTAAGTAAAGGATTGCAAGTGAAAACAAATTTCAGAATATGTTATCTTGGTGCTAAACGTACAAAGTAAACCTTAGAAAAATATACCAAACCAGGTGATTTTTAGGAAGAAAAACAAAATTACAAATATTCATCAATATGATATAGGCTAATATTTATTATCTTGCTTTTTCTGATGAAATTAACCTGGCTTGGTATACTTTTCTTAGGATCATATTACATTTTTAGCACCAATATAACATATTCTAAAAATTATTTTCATCTGTAAATAGTTACTGAGTGTGCTATATCCATATCTGTAATTTTATTGAAATATTACTAATATTTTCCAAGTCTATTTCATTTTCCATTTTTTTTGGAGAAAAAACCTCTAAGAATCTGACACTTTTCTAAACTTGAGAAATGATATTTAGTCTCCTCAAAAGAAAAAAAAATTGTTTGTATCATCCGTCCTTAAACATGTTTTAATGATAAAAATATACTTTTTAGACATTTCTGTCCTGTGTAACCTGGCTTGCAATTCAAACACACCCCATCCTTCATCTTACAAAGATTGTTTAGGCAGTTGACAGGACACATAAAGGCACAGCCAGTTCCATAGAAACCAGTTTGACATTCAACACACTCCCCTGTAACATGATGACACTTTTCTTTCATGCAACGTTCATTGCATCTTTCTGAGCAGTTTCTACCGTACCAACCCGCTCTGCAATCTGTTTCAAACGATGATTATAACATGTAAATTATAATGTAACGATAGGATACATGTAAAAGTAAAAACAAAATTCATGATGTGCTCTGTATTTCAATGATTTGACTCTGAGTCGTTAGGTTCAAATATTACAGGTGCAATCATATCGAAATAATTTTAATACGTTTTGATAATACCAAAAGCTTACTTTCTGAACAGAAAGAACCAGTGTATCCATCTTGACAAGCAAAGCATTCCCCGCTTGCATAATTACAAATTCTATCTCGACAAAATTTTGAACAGGTCGATAGACAGCCTTTCCCGAATTTCCCTTTGATACAATCTAGAGAAGCAAAGAAAAGTATTATAAATCAGTTAATCAGTTTAAGGTTTCATTTAAAGTGTCATTAAAGTGATCTACAGCACGTGGAATTTCGATATCAAAAAATGGATGAATGACTTGCAAATAAGGTGATCAATTAATTTGTGTTGAAATTTTAAGAATGTTTAAATTGACAACATTTTTTTTTTCAAAACTTTAATTCATTTCATTTAAATTTACACCTAAGGGCAGATAACCCCAACTTCAATAAAATATGATCGATTTTGAACTGTTTAATTTGCTTTTTAGAGAGGGAAAAAGTTTATACAAGAGAGAGAATATTTGACAAACAATTATTCTTATAACAACGAAATAATTTTCTTCACACTCAGCTATGTTAAGGAAGGTCATAGTTCAAATTTCTAATGCACCGTATTAAAAGTTTAATTGTGGCGTCATGAAAATTAAACTACCCACAAAAATTAATAAACGACGTGAAAACGGTAAATAACAACTTGAATTTATTTATTTTATCAATTATCTATAAAATCTTGTACAATTGCAATACTTGATAGCAATACAGTCAAGTAATAGAAGAAAGTTTCTCGTCAAATATGACGTCATCAGCCTTGAAAATACACAGCACAGGTGATCCAGAGGACTAAATTCGCTGGTTTAAAAATTACAAGAATGCTTCAATAAATATGATATCATCGCTTTTTAACCTAATTATTAAAACTAAAAGAAAATAATTCATTAAGTACAATTTGTATAAAATATTAATTTATCTACTATCACTGGAGCCACACAGGGACAAGGAATGTATAGAATATCGATAAAACGATAAGCGTATTCGTGATTTACATCAAAAGTGCAAGGGCATACACTATTTTGTTTGAGCTGAAATATGAAATACGTATTGCTAAACTAGCTTATATTTTGATTGAATAATTGTATATTGTTTACTGTACCTCTCGAGAGTTTTTCACTCCAATGGAGACGTCACCGTATGCCAGGGAAGGACTTCAAATTTTGACCTTTACTCGGCACTTAGGGCCATTGAGCAGTGAGGGCTATCTTAATCGTGCCAACGCCTGCCGCTGACACGAGGCCACGGTTTTTAAGGTCTCATCCGAAGGACACACAACTTTCACCTCAAAGTGCCGAGCGCATGGCGAAGGAACAGTTGCAACACATTTTTTATCGACTTAGATCAGTCGCGACCCAGATACGAACTCCCGACCTCCGGATCACGGAGCGAGCGCTCTACCAAATGAGCAGCAGTGAACTGTGTGTATATTTTGAAAAATGCTGGGAGCTGATCCTAGTCTGCATGAAATTATTTTTATTGATAACAGAGTTTAGGCAAAGGGAAATTTTTAGCTTTTGTAAACATTTTCGGCAAAATCTTAAAAGTGCTTCGCATAAAGCACAGACTAGGTACCAGCACCTTTTGGGTAGAGGAAATAAACATCTTTTGATGTGTATCTTTTTTTCCCTTGAAAAATGAGCGTATGCCCTTGCCCTATCGTCATTTCCTACATTCAGCTTACATGTAACAATTATATTTTTATACAAGTCATGTGACAAACAGCTGAAACATGCGATATAATTGTTAATTACTACGACTAAGTCCTATCCATTATGGATAGCTATATTACATTTTCTCTAGGTATTCAGTTGCTTTGTTACATTTTTTAAAAGTATTAATGCATATTAAAAGGGTGCTCAGGTCACATTTTCCATATCGGTCCTTAACATAGCTGAGCATGCATGTAACTTACGTTGTTTGCAGCTGGATCCAAAGAACCCTGGCGGACATTCATCACAATCTCCTGTGACGTGGTTACATTTACCATTTTGACAAAGCTTGCTGCAATTCTTCCTACATTCTTCACCGTATTGCCCTTCTTCACAAGATTAAAAGATATACCATATTTATTTCAAAATCACTTAATGCTAGATTTATACTCCATCTTTCAAGACTTTTCCAGAAACTAAAACATTACATTCTAATTGAAATCTTAACGTCAAATACATTAATAATAAAAGTTTAATTTTATTGGAAATGTAGGAAGTATGATTACAATCATGATTATTACAAATTTACTCCTTAATATAGATCAGCAGACGTATAGACATTACTATCGTTCTTAAAGGCCACACAGTAATCAAAATGTCATATGCATACTATAAATATTTATGAAGGCTGATTTTCAATTAATTTCGTTATTATTATTTCGACGACCTGGCAATTTTTCATGATTTCTTTTTTATAATTCAAGTATTCCTTGTCTCTAACATTTATTTATTAATCTAACTGTTCGTGAAAATCTGATATTACAAATGACAAACTTTTTTTCTGAACATTATGTTTATTTACAAGTTTTTTAGGTTATGTTCATTGAATTGAATTAAAAACTAATCATTTACTAATTCTTTCTCTGTGGTAATCACAGTAGCTTTACCTTTATCGCATTTCCCACCTCTGTAACCTGGTAAGCAACTGAAACAAAGTCCATCTTTTAAATAACATTCTTTATCGAAACAATTAACTGGACAAGGACTAGAACAGCCAGTTCCATAAAAGCCTTTGGGACAATGAAGGCAATCTCCAGTTACATGATGACATTTTCCGTCTTTACATCGTACATTGCATCGTTCTAAGCATTTACTGCCATATCTTCCTTCTGCGCAAGCTGTGTTAAGATAAAACTTCAATTAAGCAATGAATCATTTGTTTTTGAAAGATATAGTCTCATACCTTCAAAGATATGTGCAAAGAAATTGAGTAACACAAGTTATGTGAGACTCTATCTGTAAAAATATAATGAATCGTTAGATATATCTACATGTTTTTAACTGTATATCTTGACTGCAGACGTCATTTTTAGTATAAAAACCATGTATTATACTTTTTATTAGTTACTGTTAATGAGAGAGCCAAAGTTACAGCTTCTGCTCAACAATGTGAGCGTGCCTTTTGATTTTTGATTATGATGTTGCACTCCTTCAATTGGATCAAAACCAGATCTTTGTAACGCTCCGAAATTTTGACAGCCCTGCACTACAGCAAATTTCAACTGTATTTTTATTTTCTGGTAGTACACTTTCCCCCTTTATCTTGAAAACTTAACAAGGTATGATTTGAATCTCTTGATGTTTTTTTTTAAATTTATAGAAAAACAAAATAAGATATTTTCAATTTCTCTTGGTATATCCACATAATATTTCAACTTACCGATGCAATCTGATATCTTGTACAAGGACATGGTTTCTTCTGATGATGTTAAAATTATATTTATATATGAATAATTTTTTAATAAGATAAAAATGATAATTTGAATGAAGATCATTAAATATTAAATTTAAGAAGCTCTCAAATGATATTTACTTTTAATACGTAATCTTTGTTAATGAAAGAATTACAAGCAAATTAAATTTTGCCCTTTGGAAACAATTGGTGCATCCTTAAAGTCAAGCAGATATCGTTGAATTTTGGAGATTTTTGAGAGGTTATGCCTGTGATTAAAATACGTTTGTGTATAAAAGTGCATGACTGCAGTTTTATAAGAGACCTATTCGTTATCAATTTAATAAGACTCTGAAATACTGATTATAACATTCAAAAATGTGATTCAGGTTTAGTCAGATCACGCTTATTTACTTTTAAATTTCCTAGTTACACGTTGTAATTATATTGCTTGATCTGAGTCTCAAGTGCAGAGAAACTGCGTGTTTAACAAATCTATTTAAGAAATAAGGTATCATTTTTAAACATCTATCGGGATATAAATACGGGTTGGTCACGAGATTAAATTCCATAAAGCCCGAAGGGCTTTATGATGAATTTAATCTCGTACCAACCCGTATTTATAGCCCGATAGATGTTTTAAAATGATACCTTATTACCTATATTTACATTTGTGACTTATTCATACTTTATATTTGCCTGGTTGTTACTTTTAACGTGTGAAATGCATTATGTTTCAAACCCAACGGCATGTACGAGGGTTGTCCCGTAAAATCGTGGACAAGTTGTTTAGTGTAAAAAATAAACATCACTGCGTTCTGAAATTTTCAATATCATTAAGTACATATTTTAGTAATATACACAGCAAATTTCAGATAAATATATGCATAGATAAACAAATTATGAGATTTTATGCCATGTATTGTATCATCTTACGGCGCATGGATTATAACGTCAAAGTGTCTAAAACAGCGTCACGTTTTATCCTTGCTGAAAATGAAGTTGGATGAGTCCGACTTAAATTAAGGAATTTCATTGAAACTCATTCTTTAGTCTCCATAACAGTCGAAGAACCAATTGGCACCCTCATGCGGTCTTCTGAAGATTTATTAGTAAGTTACGGACAATATTCTCATCATTATTCAACTAATAGAAATTCTCATATCGGCGGTCTCTTGTGACAGCGTCTTTTGCTATTAAATTAGGAGTTTGTCCGTATGTTTTGTGCTCCCCAGGGACTCGATCAAAAAGACTTCGCTAAGAAAACTCCTATTTTATTTGTATACATAAGATATGGAGATATTTTTATAATCTTTTTTCTTCTATGGTCATTTCAAGTCTCTAAAGGTGTCAGTACAACATCGAATTAAAGCTAAACTGCTCTCCGGTGTGCCGTAACGTCATAAAACGTCGCCATTTTTCGTGTGTTGTATTTACCACTTTCCCATTTCGAATGCTCGAGAAACTGCCAAAAAGTAACCAAATGCCTTAAAACTTTTACAAAGACTACAAAATTGATTGTGGAATTGAATGAGGATACTTTAAATCCAAATCTTATGTATTCAAAACTTTTATTTTGAATTAAAACTTGTGTATTCTTTGATAAAAACTTTGTTTTTTGACCGTGCGCCGTAGGACACTACCCCGTGCACATTCAAGCATAATGAAATCTTTATTTTTGCCTATATTTTATCAAAAAATTTATCATGTACTTAAAAATGATAAATAAACAATTACTGAAATTTTCAGCTAATTTCGCCCATTACTTTTCGAGAAAAACGCTTTGTCCACGATTTTACGGGACAACCCTCGTATGTAATCCACTGAACGCGCGTAGGCCCTTTATGACGTCACTGAGAAATTACGTCAAACGTTTATCCATACGCACATCTATGACCTATTGACCCCATACCTGTATTTATACAGTTATAGATACGCATTCTTTCAGTAGTGTTATATAAAGGAAAACAATTGCAAATGTAAATATAACGTCATATCTGTCAGTACAACGGGATAAATTTGGTTTTAATTTTACATTCAATCACCGTTATCATGACAATATAAGTTAAACATTGATTTCTATTTAGGAGAAATCACAGGACGTAAAAGTGTTTGCAAAAGAAGATTATTATTTATTCGCCAAAATTCATTTGTGCAAATTCAGCGTGACGTCATAATCGATTTCCCGAAACTCTGCATAGACTGATAAACATTTGACAGTCCTTAACCTAGCTACGTAACTGAAAAGATGTTTAAGTATTGTGATATAATATGTACTTGGTACAGTGATGAAACGCCATATATTTAATAATTTACCTTTATCGCAGGTCTCTCCCCAATGACCAGGTTTGCATTGTGTACACAGCCCATCCTTAAAGGAACATTTGTTATCAAGACAAAATTCAGGACAGTTATCTAAACAGCTGGTTCCAAACAATCCAGGTGGACAATCCATGCAATCTCCTGTGATATGGTGGCATTTTCTATCTTTACATTTTTCACTGCATCTTTGAGAGCAATCTTTTCCAAATTTACCATCTGTACATACTGTTAAAAAAGATACTGTCTTTAGCACAAAAAAGATTGGTCAAAAATGTCAAATCTCTCTGAAAAGTGAAATTGTATTCACTTTCAATAGAATACAAATCAAAATTACGCTTATTCTTGCTAAATTTTTAGATAACGTACAATTTTCACATTTTTCGCCTTTGTATCCTGACAAACATTTTTTACAGTGACCAATGATAGGGTCGCAATCATTATTTAGACAATGTTCAGGGCACCTCATGTTGCATTCGTACCCATGAAATCCAACTGCACAGTCTAGAAAAACATTAATAAAATCAGATTAGAAAAGGTCAATGAAAGTTACAGATGTTTCATTCTAGTTACAGTATTAAAACAAATGAATTCTTACCGAGCACTTTTATTGCCGCCTCAGTCTCTGCACAGGCTTTATCACAATTAGGTGAAATACAGCTGATTAATTTGTATTTACCACTATCTCTTGCTCCGACGTCTCTTAACACAAGTCTGGCTTGTGACCACTTAATGTAACTCCCTTTGTTGTTTAATGACTGAAGATCCATTTTCTCATGTTTTCCGTTAGGGAGAACTTTGACCCAGTTACTAACTGCAGCTTCTGTAGATGAAATAGTCGCCTCGAATACTGCTGTCTCGCCCCTTGCGAGAGTATCCTTCGGAATGTTTATAAATGTTACTGATACATGATCTAAAATCATAATGATATAAAACAAAGATATGATATTATACATAAACATCAACGGAACAGACTATTTATTTTTATTTCACCTAATCCGAAGGCTCAAGTGAGCTTGTCTGATGAAAGGTCCGTTGTCTGTCGTTGTCGTTGTTGGCGTCGGAAAATTTTCACATTTTCGTATCTTCTCAATAACCACTGGGCCAATTTCAACCAAACCTGCCACAAAGTATCCTTGGGCAAAGAGAATTCAGGTTTGTTCAAATGAAGGACCAAGTTTTCTTCAAAGGGGAGATAATAATGAATTAATGAAAAATTAACGGCATCTTTAAAAAGTCTTTTTGTCTAGAACCACTAGGCCAGGAAAGACGAAAATCATGTGGAACCATCCTCATGTAGTGAAGATTAAGTATGTTTAAATCATGACTCCCAGCGGTAGGGGACGTAATATCTGATCAAAGTTTTTCATAGAAACATATAGGAAAAATAGTTTAAAAATTTTCTTCTCAAGACCAGTAAAGCTATATTTTGTTATATTAATATGGCCACATCCTCAGTTAGAGTCAATATTCAAGTCTGTTTATATCATGATTCCTAAGGCTAAATTTGGGCCATAATGGGCAATCAAAATTTTACATATAAATACATAGGAAAATATTTATTTTTGTTTTTTCTCAAACATGGCAAAATTATAAACTTATGCATTATTGATAAAGTGACAATAAAAAATTCAAATTCCCCTCCCCAACAAGTAAATTTTTCAATACTGAGCCGATTTGGGTTTTATTTCCCCATGTGCTCAGGTGAGCGATGTGGCTTCTTGCTTAGATTAATTAATTAACCCTTCTTCTTAAAAACGGAGTGATTATGGAATTAGTGTTGATTTATCGAATTCAACAATATTGTATAATCCCTAACAAAAAAGTATAATTATCTATACACATGCTATAGTTAACTTACTTTGCTTTTAAATCAAATTACCAAAATAATCACTATAGAAAATCAAAGTATTCAAAGTGATCACTATTGTAAATCAAAGATTCCAAAGTAATCACTATAGTGTCATAGTTATCACTTTAATTAGTAACTCAACATTTATTATATTTCATTTTTTTTTGTTGGAGGTACTCCTTTATGTGTTCTTAGTCCAGGTTTTTCATATCAAACTTAACTACTCATATAGATAAAAAAATCTAAAATTTGTGTTATTTCTTAGATAGCAGCTGATATAGCCTCTCGTGATTTTTACTAGTCTGCGTTTCCCTGTGCTTGATTAGAATTGCTTCATTACTTAGACATTTTGAGTTTGATTTATGTATGTTATTTCCATATATAACACCTTGTAATATAAAAATCAATTCAAGCATTATTTAGTTGTACTAAATATTCAAAATTAATAAAATTATCTAACAATCCATACCTTTAACTTCTATACGGACATAATTACTTTGACTAATGTTTTGTTCACAAGTAGCAGATTCATAACTGATGAGCTGATAAGTACCCGAGTCCTCAGCTGTAGCAGCATTGATCAATAAGTCAAATGTATTGCCATTTTTTGACGTCCCACTGTATTTCTCAGAATTCAAGTTAAGTTTCTCGCCTGATTCATTTGTATATTTAATCCATTCTAAGCAAGGTGGAAATCTCCAAGAAGTTATGTAACCTTTAATTTTTATATTATCACCTTCCATTATCGGGCAAATTTCATCCATTTCTATACTTAGTTTCGCAGGACCTGTAAAAGATTTAAAGAAAGAAGGAACTGATTGATTTTGCTGAATAGAACGACAAGAATACCATGAAAAGTAGATATATGATTGAATGAATGTTTAATTGCAAGTTGAATTCACTTTTTAAAATGTATTTTTTAAATATAAAAAAACTTTGTCTTTAGAAATTGAAAGGGAACGGTATTTGTTAAAATAAATATCTCTCAGCAATTTCATTATTGCCATGAAATTCCTGTTTCCATGACTTAACTTTTTACATGAAAAGCATTAAACTGTTTTAAAGATGCTACTCAGATGATCATACATCATACATACCTAAAAGTTCATCATGAATTATTAATCCAGTAATTATCAGGAATAACAGGGTGACAATCCCTGCGATAAACGATAAAATCTAAGGCAAACAAAAAGGATAAGTTTAATTAAAACCCCTTTGTCTATTTTTTTTTTAAATTTATGATCATGTGTTGATAGTTCGTATGCTGAGTGGGTGATTACAGATTATTTATTTTTCAAGAAAGGTTCTCTAAGTTTCAAAATATATCAATTTCGTCTCGGTCAATATTGATATTTTTCTGGTGAATAACAAACCATATTCAACACCAAAAGAGTCCATAATTGTATTATGATAACTTGTACACTCTAGGTTTGAATATAACACTTTAAGTGGTACGCTTAATGTAATTGTCTATATAATGACTGTAATTGGCTTACATTTTTCCCATATTACCATCAGGAAAAGCGTTTTTGATCTCTTCTTTGAAATGATATTGAATTGAATTTAAATATATATTGTTTATATTTTATGGGTATTTTGATTACTTTTCAAATAATAATTTCAACTTGAATTTAAGTTTACCATGAAAATGCTTCAATTTTTATATAATCCAATATTATAGCTGTAAAAGACATATAATTAATTATCACGTCATAACAGTTCATTCTACAACCTGATAAAAACTTTGATATTTCATAATATGTACATGTAAAAACGTTGCAATGTCAGAATCAGGAAAAAATTTATAATGCCTTATTTAAAATTATATAGCAGGTTTGGTAATAACTAAAATTATTCTACATAATTAATTTAGTGCTGAACTTATATCAGAGAATTATTATTTTTGGCATGCATTCTTTGACATGTTAAAACCATTACCATATCAATTCTTTAACTGAAATATGTAGCCATGAGCATGTTAAGAGCCATTCTCTGTAATGATTTGAAATTTTATATAGGAGCTGTGGCACGCATAGTCTCAGAATTTCTCCAAACTCTCTATGATAAAAGTCATTGATACCCTAAACTGAAATCAGGCAAAAATTGGTTTCTATGTTTTATAGTTACTATGGCAACATGTCTTAAAGGTCGAAAAATGGCATTTTTTAACATGTTTAGAGCCCCATAGTTAACATTTGCGGCAAAGCAAACAATTGGCAATGACTGTTTCCAAAAGTTGAAGGTCAGATGTCTCAGATGCATGATAAACATGTTTGGTAAATCAACTATTACATACGTTACTATGGTAACAAAGTATTCAAAAGTAAAAAAAATATTCATTGAATTTTATAAAGTCATATACGTAAAAATAAAAAGCAATTATAGGATGAAATGCGACCAAATAATAGAAAAAAGAGCCTTGAAACATATACCAAGAACAAAATATGATATTTTACTTTGGTTGGCAATGGTTGCCAAGGTTTTTATACCACAGAGAGCCTTCAAAGTAACACTCTGTATGTTTAAATCTGATCCTATCTTTTAAAAAAAGCACATTTCCTCATAACTAATGATCAATATTATAAGATGTTGGTGTGCTCCAAGTTTTCCCATTTGAAAAAATTTAGATTAGATTCTTTAAATAGAGCGTTGCTATGGAAATAAGCAGAAAATATATGCTTAAAAACCTGAAAAATATTTTCTTTCCTTGGATACGTACCCTTAAATGTAGATTCCCAAAACTTTTATGATTGATATTTATTAACAGATAACTTGACTTGTAATTTTGACTATCATCCAATCTCTAAGTGGATGCAAGAAGTTGGCACACAGGGTTTAATATTGATATAAAGTTCACAAAATCGAACATTTTCCCTTCTTGGTAACCATAGCAACAGCGTTGTTTTAATCATCAAATTTTATCAATATATGATATTCAACTTCATTTCTAACAAATAAGTGCTATTCAAGCTGAGTCCATTACTTTGTTTCTTGATTAAATGGCAATTTAATTCTTAATGCAGTGAAAAATAATTCACTTTCAAGCACTGGTACGTTGTTTCCATGGTAACACTGCAAAGTAGCAATTATACCCAATTTTTCTTATGGTTTTGGTGTTGCAAGGTCCTAAGGGTGCATATTTGCCAGTCTTGAATTTTCATGTTTTTCCTCAAGACAGTAGCATTAACCCAATCTTAGTTACTGGTTTTGCATGGTTACACTGTGTTACCATGGCAACCATAAAAGTTATTTATAGAATAATATTGCTTATATTTATATACTTAAGGTCAAACATTTTCATTGTTTTTCTTAAGTCGTTGATTGAGTTTGAGCATGTAACACCTACAATTAATGAATACGGAGTGTTTTTCAGCATATTTCAGCATTTTAAATGTATTCCAAATGTACCCTTGGTTACCACTTACTTAAAGATATATTCTAAACAGTTTCTTTACAGTATAAGTAACATCAAGGTGTCATGTTTTTGTGAGAATGGTTTGTTTGCTTTTTCTAGTTTTTATTAAGCCACAGTCAAGATTTAAAGTGGCTGAAAATCTCGATTTTTCAAACTTTTCCGGCTGTTGCCATAGCAACCGAGACGCATAGCAACGAAATTTTGTTTGATATTTGTTTCTGGTGTCAAGTACTAAGCATGGGTGAAGTTTCATCAAAATCGGTGACCATGCGTGGCAACGAAGTTTAAGTGGTTACAGAGAATGGCTATTAACATAACATAATGTTTACCGAACATGAAATACATTTTTACTCTAGAAGAATAAAAATGTATGAAACAAGAATAGATCTTGGATACGTTCAAAATGAATAAATAAAATCAATATTATCGACAGATTTTAAGCGAGTTTTGCCAATGATTGATGAGACATAACTCAGAGAGGCAAATTGTTCTATAGGCAAGGTGTCTTAAGGCATTCTGCATGCATGCCAAAACCGATAGAAGCCCAATGGCATCCAATTTATATCTTTTAAATAGATAGAGATGGATATCAATTTAAGGATGCGATCATACATACCTTCAATATAATCCATTTACAAAACGAAACATTTCTTTTTGGCAGTTTATTCATATTCTATAATAAACATCAAACATGTTTTTCGATCAATGGGTATCTTTTAAATTGGTTGGAAACGTATTCATTTGGAACGTTTTCCCAAAAAAATCATTTTAGTGAATTATCAATCAAATAATTTGAAACCCTGTACATTTTTTTTCTAAAACCACTTGTTGCATAAAAAAATGTATAAAGTAACATGAGTATTAAATACTTAAGTACTTACTTGTGGTCCCTGTAATGCTTTTTGAGCTTTTTTCATTATTTTACTATTCTCTCATCTGTGAAGACAATAATAATGAACTTTCATTTGATTTGAAAATGTATATCTGAATGAGAATTAACCAATTTTAAGTCCTTTTTAATAAAAAAAAAAATATCATTTATGTGAATTTCGATATTTACCTAGTATTTGCATTTTTAACTACTCGTAATGAAGTCAGATAATGCGTCCGTTCATACCAACACTTCTTAAATCATAGGCATCGGAAGCAAATTGGAAGTGGGAGGGGGCAAAGGAAGTGGGGGAGGGGCTAAACCAACAAAAAAGGTAGTCCTCAGTTTTCAATGCCTATATTACCGTATATACTCGCCTATAAGTCGATTTTTTGGAAGTCAAATTTTGGTCCCAAAGTCTATGTCTGACTTATAGGCGAGTCATAAAGATATTGGTACTTTTCTGGAAGGTGAAACATAGCATTTCGTAAATACTATCCTTCGTAGTATTTCCAACGATTAATGAATAACATTGTTTAATGAATAATCATTTATACATTCGAAGATTATATATAAAGTTCAAGTATTTACTTAATTAAATAGTTTTATTTTTAATGTATATTACTCATATGTTTAATTATTTAAAATCAAATATCGGCATTATTTAGAAAAATATTAGTAGAAAACAGCTTAAAACATCAGTGGATTGATTTAAAATGTCAAACGATTCTGGCAAAAAGTTGTACCGACTTAAAAGCGGGTCAATGGCAAATCCTTCCAAAATAACCTAAAAAATACAACCAACTTATAGGCGGACTGACTTATAGGCGAGTATATACGGTATGTCTATGTTTCAAAAAAAGTTGGCGGCTAAGCCACCTCTAGCCCCCCCCCCCCCTTTCATCCCCGATTCCGACCCCTATGGAAATGTGTCGTTATGACAGCTTTACACAAGTATTGAAGGACGTTTTTCGTCTTTTGCATCTCTATGTATAAATTTTCTTGTTAAAACTGTACAAGGTATGTTTGTAAAGAGTGTGGACAGCTTGATAATTACTGACAAACAGGGATAAAATCTATGAAAAAATGAACAAAAACGAAGCAAAATAATTATGCTTTTTCTCAGATACAAGAGAAGATACACACTTATACCAGGAGCACTTGAACGAAAATCCTTGATGATAGTTGACGTCAATAACTAAAACCATATAACTTTTCTCAAAATAGTCATTGTTTAACCCAAAACATGTACATTTCTTATTTCATCTTTGCCTGTAATCGAAAATGTGCACAAACTGTTCAGATTTCATATTAAGTGAAATAATATTTAAGAATTTCGGACTGCGGTCCTGCAAATTAGCAAACCTCTGTCTGCGAAATAACGACATTATGTAAGGACATATAAAATTCCTTACAGCACTATAATCTCGGATTAGTGGTCTTTCTTCACGCATATCATCCGGTAAACTGCACCTAGCTTCCTTCTGAAATTCTTCATAATCACTTAAATATTACCAAAAGGACTTACTAAACCATGTTTTCCCGACATTTTAAAGAATTTATAGTTTTATATTGGTGTTTTTCGGATGTCTACACGTTTTTTTTTTACTGGTCTCTAATTGATCCACCTCGCTTGAAAACGTCCCTTTTTCGAACAATTTCGATTCTGTATAAGTAGATTCTAATCTCAATTTCTCAGCATATTCATATCTTTGAACCTTCAAATTTTGAAGGTTTTACAATTAAGTTTTTGTCAACTTCATAATGTAAAAACCATCTAAATTTTTGCAAAATTTTACAAAATAAAAATGGAATATATAAAGGGATAAGTTTTTTTTTCATTAAAACATTGTCGGGCTCCGATTCACTAATAATAATTTTCTGAAAGGAACAGTTTTATTCCGTTTTTTTTTTATTTCTTCTATGGTTTACATAATAAAACAAGATGTGTTTGTGAAACACTGATGCCCCCGTATGGCATCTTATGGCAAGGGTTGAATTCTCTCAAATGCATGGTCAAAAGTGTCGGTACCCAAAAATAGGGTCTTGTTACAAGATATACATTGGTGAAATATAGAAGCCCTTGTTCTAATTGATCAAATTTTATGACCAAGGTTAAGTTTTGAAACTAAAGTGAATGAAAATGAGACTTCAAAACTTTATAGTTCAGTTACTTTTTTCACAAAAAATTGAAAAGGTAATATTACCTATTCAAAATGTTTTTTTTTTATCAAGGATAATAAGAAATCTGATATATAGTGTTATCTTTTGAATATTGTTAATTTTTTTTCCTCGGATCAAAATTTCGAGGTTTGAGGAATGAATATCTGCGGGAGTGATATGGTAGTTTACATTTCATAGTGGAAGAGAATTCGAAAATAAAACCACAAAACAATCAAAATTTATTTTTCAGTATATATATTCATATTTAATTGGCATGTCAGGATGATGAACTTCATTAAATTGAAAATATTAGTAATCTTAATTAAAATATTTTTAAACGAATTTCTACCTCTTGCTTAATGCATAGGCTTCTAGCAAAAAATCTTCAAGTAGCGCGTTCCTATGGCGCATTCTCTTTCAACCCCAAAATTTGGTATAAATACACGAAATTCTGGACGACCTTCATTCACAGCTTAGAGGGCCTATCAAAGTAGCCATAGGAAATATTTTGATGTGGAATGTAAAATGACAAATTAGGAAGACATTATTAGAACAAAAAATAGATGGCAGTTGAAATATATATTGAGATAATAATCGAGAAACAACTAATTTTTGTGCAAGAAATTTGTTTATATTTTCAATGGACTGCTGCCCTTTGTTCGCCGAACAACACCGAGTTACAGATCTACAACTATGTATGCGCCCCGATTTCTTATTTCGCCTTTAACGTCCTTAGTCTTACAGGTGGTTGGACGATCGAATTCCAAAAAAGAGTCATTTCTTAAACAGAACTATGACTGGGCGTGCAGCCTTGCACTGACAAAGGAAATAATAGAATATATATAATAAAAGCCAAACCAGTTTTCTGTGTATAAGATCCTTTAGAAAGAGAATAAATCATTAAATCCAAAGATGTAATTAAGCATTATGTGGGAGCTTTATACTGTTTGTCGTCAAACAAGCATCAAGAGTTACTAACTTTAAGACTCTTTTCATTCACTAGCTACATTGAATGAAAAAATATAATCTTACTTACGTCTCATCTCGAGATATCTCCATAAATATGAAATGATATTATCTTATCTCACATAAACATAACGTCGTATGATACAAAATCTGCAGAGATAAAACACGGGAAAGATGATAACATAATTGACACTGAGTGTCTCTTCCCTGTATTTGAAAACCAAGTGAAGAAAAGCCCCCCTTTTTAAAAGCATCTTTTAAATTTTCAAAAAACCTAGATTCCACGGAACGTTGGACTGTTGTGGATTATAACAGTCAGATATAAGTATATTTTATACATCCACAGATAGTGATACTGTAAAATATTCTGATAATCAAATCAATATAAAATTTTCCAGCGCTTCAAGAATACTAATAAATGATTAATGAAATTGAAACTTTTATTATATTTTCTTTAAAATAATCGAAAGAGATCCTCCAAAAGAGTTTTCAGCATTTCGTACTGCAAATGTCAGTCTATCTTGGAACACCAATCCTGATGCATTTTCAGCGTGTATAAATTGAAATCTGTTTTTCAGTACTTTCATATTTTATTATCTTTTCTGCGTTTGGTCTTGCACTAGAAGATAGATTGATTGTATACTGTTTAACGTCCCTCTCGAGAGTTTTTCACTCATATGGAGACGTCACCGTATGCCGGTGAGGGGCTTCAAATTTTGACCTTTACTCGGCACTCAGGGCCAATGAGCAGTGAGGGATCTTTATCGTGCCAACGCCTGCCGCTGACACGGGGCCTCAGTTTGCACTAGAAGACGTCAAGACCCTCAATATTGCTGCAGGCAAATAAACGATTTCAAGAGTCAGTTTAAGCGTAAATAGGAAATGTGCCAAAAATATTTTTTTTTTAAATCACAAAAAGACATTACATCTAAGATCTAGCCGTCACAAATATCCGTAAATATTTATTTTACTTCAATATTATTTACATTTTTCATTGTAAAAAAATTCCTTGATCTGTCTTTCAATACATACAAACTACTACCTGTTTAACGAAGAAGGATATGGAAATAACGAACAGTATTCAATCTCAACGTTCATTAAACAAATATACAAAATAAGAGCAGAGCAAACAAATAACGTCGCTTATATATAATCACAGCGATTACTTACTTTTTTATTCCGTGCTATGTCGGACTTCAGAAACGACAAAACATCATCTTTTAGCAAGATTTACCGCAGTTTAATTGTCTGGCATGTTTTAAAATATCAAAGCTTTTCATCGTGTGGTACATGGATTTAAAGAATTTGTAGCTTTGTGTGATGACATAGTTAACATTATCCGTAAAATTACGCCCTTTCTGTTGCCTTAAAAATGATTCTTTTCATATTCCCTGGGTTTTAAAATGAATGAAATTTTTACTGAATCAAGTAGACAGAGTAACCTAGATTGAATTGACATTTTAATTTTCTTAGTAGGGTCCGGTCAAGGTCATTATTTTTTCCCCGTGAAAATAAAGAATAAAAACATTTATTGTCGTCAATCTGATGATGCCTACTTCTTTTTCAAAACAATATTGAAGAAAAAAGACAATATCTAATTAGGTCGCCCGCGTGGCGCAGTGGTTAGAGCTTCTGCTCTAGAGTCGCGAAGTAAGGAGTCGATCCTT